AAGAAAGTAAATTTTCAAAAACTTCTTATTACCGGTGTCAAACAGATATAACTATTTCCTTTTTTTTTTTCATCAAAACACTAAAAACTTCGTATTACATACATCACACACTGGAATATTTGATGTGTTATCCAACCTATCTTGAATAAAAGTTTTTTTATGGTATGAATTAGCAATCATTATTATATTTTGAATTGAATTCCATGTTTTCTTAATAAAAGTTATGGCAAATTGTGTATTTAAAGAAAGTAATAATTGCAGACATACATATGTACATATATGTTCCACTTGGCCCAATTAAAAACCCCCTAATCTATGACAAGTGGCAAATGGGCATACATCAAATTTAACTTCTTTGTGGGTCCAATGCCTTGTCATTCATGATTGGTAGACCCCACATCCAAATTATTTTTCTATGGATATAAATAATTAGACATGATATGACTTCTCTAACTCCATGATTACATTTCACACTCCCCCAATTTCATTCTTAATTAATCACTTCATCTTGTGAAAATACAAAACCTTACTTCAATTATTTATATTTATTTCTAATTATTGATTAATAAAACGATAATTAATTAACATGGTGTTTTTATCGTTTGTTCGAATCCAAATATCATGTGTTTTAGAGCGATGGTTAATAGATGGTATATTTTATTTTTTTCAATTAAAAGTGCAACGTTTAAATGACATGTATTTTAAATAAATGCTTGATACGTTAAAAAATGCATCTAAAATATTCTCTAATGAGACAAATGAAGAAACGGTTGCACTTTTTAGTAAGTACACGATTTATTTGTCATACTAATAAAAGATATGCAACTTTATTCAAAATTTCTTATAAAAATCTGTAATTTCAATCGAAAGATAAAACAATTAGGAAAAGTTTACAAAGTTTAACATATTGTTTAAGAGAAATTAGTTATTAGGAACTTGTATAGACGAAAACCGATGATTTTATTAGTTTCATATTTTTGTAGTGATTATAATCAACATATCAATATTTATATAAATTTTTGTAGAGTATAAATAATTGATTAATCATAAAACATCAAAAAAAGGTATGTGGTTTGTTGTTTAACGTATAGCTAGGGTTTATAATAGACCTTGTCCCATCCTTAACTTCAATATTTTTTTCAATTAGAGTAAGCTATAATTTTGGTCCTTGTGGTTTGTCGATTGTACAAGTTTTCGTCTCTCCAGTTTTGAATCTACATGTTGGCCATTGTGGTTTGTAAAAACACTCAAATTTGGTTTTTCCTCTAAATATATGTTAAAGTTAATAGTTAAGTGAGGGCATTTTTGTCTTTTTCTTCACTCTCTCAATTTTCTTTGTAAATAATTAATATACATTATACTATGATATACATACAAGAACAAACAACTAAGCCTCCACTTTCGTAGGGACGATGTACCCATCCCCTATTTCCAATTCTCCAGAGAATTTAAGCAACATGTATACCCATCTCCCCTCCTCTATCAAGCTCTAGTTCCACCATCGAAGCAACAAGCCCAATGAAGCTTATAGTTCACAGTGTACCCTCCAGTTCCCCTTCTCCGGTAATCCATACTCTCATCATGCCCTCTGCACCCACTTCGCCATATCCCTTTTCGCCGCTATGCGCATATCTCCATACCTTTGATCGAACCCCCATACTCTCCAATTTGATAAAGATTTTGGGGTTTCAATTTGAATATTGATTTAGATTTGAGCTTTGTATCTTGATTAAATGTTTATGTTGCTTCTTGGTTTTGTATGTTAGAGTTTGTAATTCGAGTCAACAGAGGTGCAACCTAGTTGTGTTGGAATGGTGGTGTTGTGGTGCATCTGATAGAGGGGGAGGCTACACAATTCGTTTCATATTTTTCTTCCAAAGATTGAGTATGGAGGGAGGAATGGGGAGATCTAAAGGTGAAAGCGAATGTGGATGTGGTGGTGGCTTCATATTTGGTAGTGATTGTGGATGTTACAGGTTATGGCACGGAGTGGTCCACGTTACAGGTAGCAAAAGTGTGGTAAGGAGTTGAGGTGGGGTCAATTTATGATAAGAAGACAAAATACCCGAAAAGACCAAAATACTATTCGTTTAACGGCAAAAAATTAGCGTCCATCATAGGAAGGGACCAAATCCAAGTGTTTTTGCAAACCATTGTCGCCTTGTAGTTTTGAAACTGTACGGACAAAAACTGTTACAATCAACAAACTAAAAGGACCAAATTTGTTGTTGACTCTTTCAATTATTAATTAGGATATATTTTAATTATTTATAAATACATATATAGCTAGTAGCTAAGGTTGTTTAATCAAATGTCACACCTTTAAGAATAATTTTTTCCTTAGATTTTTTTTATAGACTTATACTACATTACTATCTCATAAACACGATTGAAGTTAACAAGATTTATATTTTTCACATCAAAACAAGGTTTTAAAAGAACACACAGAAGATAAACTGAAATAAGACATGTGAGAGTCAGCTGAAATCTAATAGTTCTTAAAGTCGGATTAAAGGTCTCAGATCCCTTAAGTATAAATCCGCACTTCACATAAGAATGATGAGCTCCAACTTCAAACTATAATAGCAGTTGTTGAAATGCCCATATGCGCTTGACCCATTTGTATGGCTTTTGGTTGTTGCAATATTGTGGTAAGTTAATTACATAACTGTATTTCTTATGGTGATATGATATGATCCAACATGAGGAGTTGTATGTATGTGAGCCATATATGCATACATACAAGAAACAAGACCAAGACCAAGACCAAGACCCCCAATGGTTCCAAATGTGTTATTTGACCTACATACTCTTGCGTCCAAAACTAAACTTATATCAACCAAAAAACGTATGTAAATCTATAAGAAAAGAGAAAAATTAAAGACGGGATTCTATAATTGCTCACGAGTCTTAAAACTAATAAGACAAAAACATATCAGAGCTTACAAACAGTCGTTGTAATTACCAATTCAATCATCTTTTTCGATCATACGTCGATAAATTAAGTTCTTTTTACACTCCTTTTCTTTTACATTTAAAAAAAAATCCATTTTCTTAATTCAAATATAGATTATATCCTTTGATCATATACATAATATAATTAATTAATAAAGATAAAATGATCAATTTCTTATTATAAACTTGAGTGACAATTTGCATGGATAAAATTAGAAGGTATAATAGGCACTTTTTAGGGCACAGGGATGGCCTTTCAAGACCCAACAAGAAAACAAAAACAAGAACAAATGGACAGTAAAAGACTTTAGGCACTTACTGGATTATGCCATAATATATATATATATATATATATATAACAAGAAAGTAGCATTAAAAGTAGCCATTTTTTTGTCTATTGTGTTTGGTTTTTATGAAGCTCAAAAGCTACAGGATCATGAGAAATGGCAAATAATTGAAAGATCCAATGATACAAATTAATTTCACAAAGATAGTAAAAAAGTTGGAATTTGGAGGTTTTCTCACACCAACTCATTATACATTTAATTGTTTTTGGATCTTGCTCATGATTTTAAAATCTTGCATTACTATCTCTACATTCTAAACAATTAATTATTTCTTTTTGGTATTAAAATATTATTCACAAACCATATAATATTTAACATATAATTTTTAAGCATGTAGATAATTGGTTTTTAATTTGCTGCAATGGTTTTTTATTGATAATATGACGATAACGTATTAAAAGTAATTATCGGACTCGATTCTTGGATTAGATTAAATGAGTTTTTATATGAAGGTTTGCATATCATGAATAATAATGGGTTAAGTTTTAAAAGCTTGTAATTTTTCTATAACATAACTTAATTGAGTTTTCTTACCTAAATGGAAGAAAAATCCAGATTAAACGGTCTACCACGGCACAAATATGCTCCAGACACATATCTTAACCCTCCTCCCTCTTACTAAGACTACAGAATTTTTTGTGAATTATGGCAAATACCGGGTATATAAGCAGTGATTTCAAAACAGAGGTTAATTATACTTTGGCAACTTTACGTATAGCAGAGTTTATAAACTCTCCTGGCGAATAGGTAATACCCGAGATGGCTCTTTATGATACTATGCAATTTGTGCAACCATACGTACATAAAATATGCATATGGGATCAGCCGCTTCAATGAGATCTTTTATCCTGGTCGGAGGAGACGGGATTGTTAGAGTCGATGTTTTTTTTTTAAGCATTTTTGTTATGCTACTAATACTTGTACTTGCTCTGTTATTCTATCTCATCCTGGCTGAGAAAGAGTTACGGACGTGTAAAACAATAAAAGACGCCGATGGAGAATGGACATAGTATGTGTAACTAAACCCTAGATCTTAATTTGAAACTAACCAATTGGTTAGTTTCAAATTAAGATTTCTGTCTACAAATTAAAAGTTAATTAATTAATTTTTTAAAAAGCTTTAATTAATATGTCGACAATCCAATTAATTAGCTATCCTCTTTATTTCTCTTTCTCTCTCTCTCTCTACATATATATATATATATATATATATATAATTATTAGTTAAAGTTAGAAAACAGTAACGCACACCATAGAGATAGAGGGACAGATATTGATTTATTTTTTCTTTTTATTGAAAACAGATACTGATTTCTTGTGAGTTTGGTTTTTCTTGAAAGTTCCCCCTCAGAAACAATAACTAACTATACAAGCATAATCATAAACTGTTAGAATAATGATTCATAATTAAGGAATTCTTGGTGGCAAAGGTACCTTTCAGTCTCCATCCCCTCTCTCCCCTTATATACAACACCACCTTTCTTCTTCCTTATTATTATAAATTCTCCATCCATATACTCCCGGATTAGAAACAACTGCTACAAGTTTTTCGGATAATACCTTGCCACCATTAGCATCATCACCAATCTCTACACCTTTCTTGCTTGCTGAATACAATTTATAGAGCCTCTCTCTTTCTCTCTCTATATATATATATATATGCTTTAATCTGCAGCCTCTTTAGTTTAAAATCAAGAGATGGGTTTAAGAGATATTGGAGCCACACTGCCACCAGGGTTTAGGTTTTACCCAAGTGATGAAGAGTTGGTTTGCCACTATCTTTACAAGAAGATAGCTAATGAAGATGTTCTCAAGGGAACTTTAGTCGAGATTGATCTTCATACTTGTGAGCCATGGCAGCTTCCTGGTGAGTTTATTTTGTATTTACTTACATTCTTGTACTATATCAAGTGATTTCTGGTTCTTTGATCGATGATCTTGGAGTTGGGGAGAGATAGAAATGCATGTTTCGTTTGGTTTTAAGCAGACAGTGAACATGTTAAGAAAGCTGCTTGATGGGTTGAGCTAGTAGACAGCCAACCAGTCATATGTACACATGGTTGGCAGATCATGCTCATCTTGCTGGCAGCTTGTTTGAGAAGTTTACGAAGAAAAGTAGAAACACCCAAAAATCGAAACTTCTAATCCAGTTTAGATTATGAGCACATTAGTATAAAGATGCCATTGATCAAGGTTCTGAAACACTTAACTAGCACTAGATACGGTGTGGGTGTGGGTGTGGGTGTGTGTGTGTGAAACATATTTATATTAACATTATTTGACCCTGCGTCAAGTTTACAGAAAGAGAGAGAGAGAGAGAGAGAGTAATGGAAGGTTAGGTTTTTTCCCAGTAGAATCTCTTTAGCTTCTCTCACCCTCGAAACCGCAATAATAACGGAGAAGGAAATGATATATAATAGGATGTGTATATATATATATATATATACAAACACACACAGACAGACATGTATCTATATATTACATATATCATGTCTGTGTCTACATACAAACAGATTCAGGATTTAGAATATGATACAATGTATGTAGTTGGATAAAATATTTTATATATAGGTATTACATGATTTATTAGATTAAGGGGTAATTTTGAAGTGCTAATTTGGGATAGCTTCAATTATTAATTAGTGTTTAAGATCCAGATTAATCAGAATTATTAAAGAACACAAACTTTCTTGACAAACTTCAAAAGCACCTTCTAGAAAAGGAATCAAGAAATCTTTTCTACTCCTAAAGCAACCCTTCTCTCTCTCTCTCTCTCTCAGTATTATGTATATGTATGAATATTATATATCTTTAAATGGATAAGACAACAACTATTGATACAGTAATGTATGCAACTAGCATCTTAATCAATCAAGTTGATTATATATTCCATTTTTATCAAATCCTATCCTCAAATTTACTGTTAGAAAGACGATGTTATTGTGTCTCTAGGAGGATGGATTAAACAGCAATCTTTGGATAAGATGGCCTTTTGTTATTCAGCCATTTTCTTACTTTCTTCAATGGGTTCCTTATGAAAAGAGCAACTATTATCGTCACTTGGATAAAGACAATCTTGCGGTGCTTTTTTCTGTGTTATTTTGACTTAATTACCCCAGGTTGAGGTGTTGGCTAAATCAAGACGATATATACAAACAGTATAAGCATCCATCTGTACGAATTATATAATTTAAGCATATATATATACATGTGATGCATGTAAGTTGGTGGATGGAAACACATTTCTCTGTCAAATGCACATCAATGGTAGTGCTAATAAGGACATATTCTGAAATTGACATTCTACCAACACCTACATCATGTGTTTTAGCCTTTCATGATCCGTATTCTCTCCGTGAAACACCTGCATTAATTCTCCATGTCTCTCAAATTTTGTCTAAGCTTTTATGTCATTTCAAAGAGCATTTAATGTCATGTTGGTTTAAGTTTTTAATGGTTTATGGTACATGATTATTTGTTTATTAACTTTTTGTTTTTATGTTCGCTACAGAGACAGCGAAACTCAATTCAAGTGAGTGGTATTTCTTCAGCTTTCGCGATCGCAAGTATGCAACAGGATACCGTACTAACCGAGCCACAACATCCGGATATTGGAAGGCTACCGGAAAAGATAGGACCGTTGTGGATCCGAGAAGTGGTGTTATCATAGGGATGAGGAAGACGTTAGTGTTCTACAAGAATCGAGCGCCAAATGGGGTTAAAACTGGTTGGATAATGCACGAATTTCGCCTCGAGAACCCTCATATTCCTCCCAAGGTATTTAAGAATTAATTCAATCCTCAAAAACCCACAATCTTTTTCATTGAACTTTCTTCCCAAATAGGGTTAACTTTCATTGGATCCTAGACATACTTCAAGTGTTTTTCCTTTCAAAAAGCCCCAAAATAAGCCCACTTCACTTTTTAGCCACTTTTTCAATTGAATTTTCATTTAAGCTAAAGTTTACGTAGAATTTAAATCCTTACGCAAAAGATTGGGAAAAAATCCGCTTAAAGATTCAAAATTCTACCTAGTTCTTTTTCCTTTATTTTGTTTCCAGAAATCAAATTTGTGCGTAAATGTAAGATCCCACATCGGTTGGGAGAGAAACTAATTAAGGTTGTCTCATAGGGACCGGATACCTTCTCTACCAGACGCATTTTAAAACCGTGAGTCTAAGTGTGTGGACAAAACAGACAATATCTGATACAATTGACATGAGATGAGATATTACAGTAAACTTAGGCTATTTTGGAAAGAAGCTTTGATAAGTGGCTAAAAACTGGATTTGGTTGATGATCAGATTGCATATTTAGTTCGATTTCCCCCTAACATATACATCAACTTTATTAACATTCTCTTTTATTTGGTTGAATTATTGAACGAACAGGAAGACTGGGTTTTATGTAGAGTATTTTACAAAGCAAAGGGGGACAATAGCAACGAACATAGCCCACAACACATGTATCACAACACTGCAAGTCATGATGGTGTCACCTCACCAAATCTTGGTACATCTCCGACCACCATCTCCACCGGTTGCCAACCACCACCTTGTATCCACCACCACCACCACCCCCCCTTCACCACCACAAACTCCTCCACCACCCTCTCGAATCAAACACCAACACCACCCATCCACCACCAAAATTATTTCGGCATATCGCCACAACAATACAACCATCAAAATCTTCTCCAACTATCTCAAGACGCCACCTTGAAGGAATCGACGGACCAAATGTTTATGAGCTCGAATAATAAATGCGACGATCAATATGGTTTCTTTTACGATATGGTTTTCGAAGACTATGTCCCTTCCCATAATCTACAAGACATGGAATTGGACGATGATGATAATGACAATGGTATAGTGTTCTACGAGTAGTAATCAACTCTGCAAATATTTGAAGTGTTTTAGGTATAGAAAAAAAAAATTAAGAGAATTAGCACATTTAATTTCTTCATTTGATTATTCGAGTGTTCTTGTGTTTGATTTCAATTTGAATCAAGTGATTAATTTGTTGTATATTAAGAGATTGAAAAAAAAATTATATATATATATATATATATATGTACATATATACATCGGTTTTATTTGAGTCTGTAATTTGCAATATGTATTATTTTAAACCGTCTTATTTCCATTACGTGTTGTATGTGCAATAAGTCATATGTGTAGGCAACAAACGCTTTGCCCACGCGTCATTTGTTCCTTTTTTTCTTATTAAACTATAATGATTACGTTTTATCATTGGTTTTAATATCTGAAAGAAGAAAAATACAAAAAACTCGATCGAATACAACTCCTCCGATCTGTATGTTGTATGAGAATCACCGAACTCGTTTTTCCTATATATCTGTTGTTTTCTTCAATTCCGTCTCCTCAATTAAGTAAAGAAAGCAACTTCGTGTAAGCAACGCATGATCGATATTCATATATGATGTGATTAAGATTTAGACATATTATTATCATTCTTGTACTATAGTTTTCAACACCTTTATAGTCATTGTTATACTACCAATGTTTTATAAGAAAATAAATATATACTTTTGTTTATTAACCTGGATATCCAACCCACTGTGTGAGCCGACGGATCCCAGGACGACCACCAGCGATTTGAACGTCCGTGGTCATATGGGATTTTTATTTCTCCTTTGGATTCGAACATGAGACCTGTATGTATGTATGTATGTATGTATGTATGTATGTATGTATGTATGTATGTATGTATGTATGTATGTATGTATGTATGTATGTATGTATGTATATGTATGTATGAGAGATACATGTTAATTATTGATTACGAGTTGTTCTGGATTATCGGTTTTATATATTTTTTTATTTTAGTTTTTTTTTCAATTTAACTATCAATTCTTTTTTTATGTGTTCCATTTGGCTTTACTTTGTTGTTTTGCGTAAGGTTTTTCTATTTGTTTATACGAGTTACAGTTTATTTTGTTTCCCTAAATATCTTTTTATGTACATCTTATTCTAAATGATTTTAATAAATTAAATGGTGGTGTCTGATTGTTTGAGCTTGGACTCCAAATGTTAAGAATGTCTGGAAATTTCATGTTCAAATCCAAGGAGAAATAAAAATTCATTTATGGGACGGAGGTTCAAATGTGGTGACTCCTGGCTACCTACAAATGAGGTGATCATCCTGGGATTAGTCAATTCGTATAACGGGTTGGATATCCAGATTAATCAAAAAAATTACATTCACAGTGTTTTTCTGTAAAGTTTCAAGTATAAAAAAATAGTTTCACAAAAACAGGTTAGTCTCATATGAACCCAACCCATACATTATATATAATAAAATTACCAAACATTTGTAGTTTGGTATGTCAAAGAGTATTTTGCTTAACATTATAGTGTCTTAAAATGGTAAGTTTATGCAATTAAGTTACATTACAGTATACCTTTTATTATACATGAATATATATGGTAGAGGATAAGAACTAGGTGTATGTAAGTAGAGAGATATGAATAGCAACCCTATTACAACAAAATTGGGTTTATAGAACGCCCCCAATCTCTAAGCATCCCAATAGGCTGTTTTATATGACTTAATTTATATGACCAAAATATAAAGCGTCATATCTAAAGGCGTTGTAATAAGTTTATATAATGTTTTTGAACGTGTTAACAAGTTTTTTAGAACATTTTTTTGTACAAAGCGTCACATTAGCAACTTTATAGGACACTTATGAGAAAGTGTCCTATAAACTCAATTTTGTGTAGGACACTTGTTTTTATAGGATAATTTTTCAAATAGTGTCATATAAAGTTGCTAATGGGACGCTTTATATTAAAAGTGTCCTAAAAACTTATTATGACGTCATATAAACTTATTAAAATGTCTTTAGATATAACACTTTATTTTTCAGTCCTATAATGAAGTCTATTTGGACGTTTAGAAATTGGAAGCGTTTTCTAAACCCGATTTTGTTGTAGTGCCCCCAAAAATATTCTAGAAAACATTTAAAACCATCCAAAACTATTAACCATTCAAACATTCATTTTTAAGGGATGTTTAATTAGAGGTATTAAACAGTCATTAATGAGATTAAATATAAAAAGAAATTGTTTTGTTTTATATAATATAATGGGTTTATTTCCACAGAAACCTAAACTTTCATTCTGGGTTATGTCATTTTTCAATCGTCATTCATCTGCATGAACTAAACAACCGCTTATAATTTCTCTGGTAAATAATGTGTATTTAACGAATATCAGTATTATTTTATTTGATTAAAATAACATATTACTTGCAAACATCAATGCATAAAAAGTAAATTTAAGAACATTGGGGAAGATAAAAATAAATTTTATTTAGAAATTTTTCTTACTAATTATCATTTACTTTATTGAAAATTTTCAATAAAATGATGTGTCTCAACATCATTCAAGCAATCAATAGTTATTGATTTTGATCGATTACAGTTTTTTTTTTCTCTTTCCACATTATTGAATTGTGCTTTAAAATATTCATTTTGTTATATTTTAATATATTTTTTCATATTATTAAATGTTTTTATTTTTTTAATAAACTAGTAAAACTCTACATGGTCAATAATATACTCGCCAGGCCCAGGCCCAGGCCCAGGCCCAGGCCCAAGCCCAAACTTCATAGAGGAAGACATAGTTGAGCCTTACCATGTGGTCTTCTCAAGGGAAAGTCCACCATTTTCCCTTATTTTAAATCAAAATGTAACTATATATAACTAAGGGTGTGCATTATAGGCATGGGAATTGACCCCGACTCGTCGGAGAACCCGGTCCACGACTCCACGGTCCACCCACCCCGATCGGGGACAGGGATTCCCCGTTAAACCGGGTCTCGGGAACGGGGACGGGGATCCCCGTTTGGCTCAAATCAAGGATGGGGACGGGGACGGGTATCACAGTCCCCGCCCCGCCCGCCACATACCCGTATATATATATATATATATATATATATATATTAATTAATAGATTATATTATATATTATTTATTTTTATTAAATCGGTAAATGGTAATTTTTATCTCAATATATTTAGGATATTACTATATGTGGTTTTGGATATTACTCAATATGTTTTGGTACATGTGACGTTAATTTTTTTAGATTAATTTTTTTTTTCATTGTTAATTATTATATAATGATGTATATTTTTTGTATTAAATTAAATTCCTTTTGATTATAGGTTTATTGAAAAATTGTGATATTTAAACATGTATAGCGTCTCATACATTTGATTTAAAAAAAATTACACAAACATGAAAAAAAAAATCCTTGTTTCCCCGTTAGAGATCCCCGTTTCTCATTGGGGACGGGGATGGGGATGTGATCAAATTCCCTGGTGGGGATGGGGATAGGGACGGGGACATGGACAAAGATCAAGGACGAGGATTGGGGTCCCTACCCCATTACCATCCCTAGTGCGCAACTGTGCATGGACACGGCGGGCGGGTTCGGTTGAGGAAGCCAAAAATCCGATCGGATTTTGAATATGAAAATTGCCTCAAATTTTGGGTTTTGGGTTTCAAGTTGGGCTCGGTCATTTTAATGATGAATTCAATCGAATGAGATGATTGATGAAGTTAATAGTAGGTTTAGTATTTAGAAAAGAATACGGCCGACTTGAATCTAGGTTTTTCGATTGATAATTATATCTATATAGTATCTAAATATTATACATATATTTATATATACACATTTTAGGTTTTCAGACGGTTCGGGTGGCCAAAATGAAACCCAACTCAAACCCAGATACCCCCCAAAAGTCAAGTTCCGAATTTTCAGATTTTGGGACATTCGGGTCTTGCACCAACTGCTCATTTTCAGTTCGGGTTTTCAAACTACTTATGCTTTGCGCAACCCTATATATGACGGTTTAAGACTATCTTTAACGAACACAGTAGATATTATACTAAAGTTGGTGTAATGCATAGTAACATATGAAATTTCATGTAACATTATAAATTTACGCTAATTGAAGAAGATAAAAATGATTATTACCAAGTTTACATCAATTTTATGGATATGGACCATATGGTGTTACCCAATGCCCCAAATGAACCAAAAATGAACAAATGTAACTGTACTTTTTGTTCAACAGTTCAAGAACATTCTTTTTAATATTCAGATCATTTACAACCTTATGTATTATCTATACGTTACAACGTCTTCGTCAAGTCTGTCTAGAATTTTTCTCCTTGTGATCGACAATGTCGGATTTACCAAAGATGTTACAGACGACCCCTTTTTCGAGGACTCATCGGACGCGATAAGATTTGCCCCATTATCACGATGATACAAGGATCGAGTATGATACCATTTATAATACCTTCAAAGCCCAAAACTACAGGTTAACCCAATAATATCGAATCTAACTTAAAACCATTATGAAAATTACTGATAAACCACAAATTTAAACCTATAACAAACTCACAAACCCCATTTTCTATAAATATATTTGTGAATAAAATAAAAAATGATGATTGATTTGACGCATGGAAGATGAGCAATGGCTTTATTTTTAGGTGCGACAAAACCACCTTGTACGGGAACCCCATGGATCCTCCTTTTACAAAAAATTTCATCTAACCCCCCTCTATTTATGTCAATTCTCAAATTCAGTCCTTATCATATATCATTGTTAAAACATACCTCCTTCATTTATCTTTTAGGTACACTGTCTAATAAGATGGGTATGGATCCTCGAATCAGGAAAGCAAGCTAAAGGTCGTGTGTCTAACCAGGGGCCTAGTGGGATCCCGTGCACCCGCTCAATTTATTTGTGTAAGTAGAATTTTGTTTTATGGTATGAAAGGTTCATCCGTTAAACTTTGAAGAGTACGCTGGTGGTATTAGAAAATACAAATAATATCAACCAAA